GTCTGAAGATTCAAAAGCAAAAATTTGACTTTGATATAAAGTAACAAAATTCTGATTTAAATTATTAAATAGGTTTTAATTAAATATTAAATTTAATTTCAGTAAATATTCAATTTAATAGAAATCTACAAACTTCTAATAATTAGTTACAAAAGCTTATAATTCATATGAAATACTTCAATAAAAAGAAAAGTTAAAATGAATACACAAATATCAAATATTTGATAATTACATATAATGTTGATCACATTTACTATATTTGTTTAATATTTATCATTAAAATATCTTTAATTTTTCTTGAAAAAAAGCCTATTAAAATGCATATCTTTATGCATATTTTGTCATTTTATTAAAACTTGGTAATTACAATTTTCTTTTATTTTTTACTGTTAAGAATCAAATCTACATCAATTTTCTGCAATAATGTAATCAATTATACTAATGATGACACTGCAAAAATACTTGGAAGGAAACTAGATATCTGACTCATCCTTTTATTACATTTTAACAAATACTTGGAATATTTATTTAAGAAAATTCTTATTTATAACTATTACAAATTAATACAATCTTAAATCTTATAAAACAATTATAAAAATAATTTATACATATATATTTTTTGTTGAAGGATTATTTATAGAGTGAAATTAATTCAGTTAAATTCAATATTTGTTTTTACAGAGTATAATTTCACTAAATATTTTGAAGAGTAAAAATGGTTATCGATCATTAAAGATGCTATGTAGATTCTGTGAAGGTTTCCAAACGAAGGGGTTTTACAGAGTAATAATAGACTGTTCTCACTGAACAGAGAAGGAAAAATCCAAATAAAACTGTAAAGAGAAAAATATAATATAAAATGATCAAAATTGAATTTTAAAAAATATGGTGATAATTTTAAGTCAAATATTACACAGTAAAATATATATTAAATNTTCATGGAAACAAAATGTTGCATGAGCATAGGCATGAGGTATAAAAATAGAAATTTTGCCATATTGTAAATACCAATGTTTACTTTTATATATACTACTGTTAGAAATAAAGAAAATATTATGTATTAATTCACAATGTTAATTAATTTGTTGAAAACATCTTTGTATAATATGGGGTGATTTTTCATTCAGGACTAAACACTTTGTTCAATATCTCATGATTACATATTGTTCAAATGTAACTGTACAATGTAAAACATACATTGGTCCATTGCTTTATCATGAAATAATTGTTCTGTTCATGTTTCATATTCATCTTTTCATTTTATATGGAGATGTTCCACATAACAAGTGCTCATTTTCAAGTGACCCATCCTGTATTAGGTAACATGGAATATTTTTATGTATATTTGCTAGTTTTATCCAAATATTCTTAGCTGTGATTTTTTTTAGAATAATTTTTCTTTTGGATACAATAGAAACACTGATCTAAACAATAATTATTTGGAGCAGATCAACCAAAAAACAAAGAAGAGAGAGAGAGAAACATTTTATATCCTATATAAAACTGACTAGAGACCATCTACTCCAACAAACTAAGCAATTTCAATGTTATGTAATGACTCTGAGGAACAGTCTAGCTTAACAGTTCTGACGGAACTGTTAACCCTACTTCTGAGGAAACATGTAGGAACCAACTGTTCTGATGGAACCATTCCGTCAGAACATTTCTGCACTAGGATCAGTTCCAGAAGCTAATCTTAATCCAGACGCTTCATTTTTTCTGTACCAATATGAAAACAATTATGAATGAGAAATCAAAATTATTCTTTTGTATTTGATTTTTTTTGTCATGTTTAATAAAAAAAAAATGCATTGTTATTAAAATTTTAAAAATTATTCAAAAATAATAGACACAAATTACTGTCCCCAAACAACGAATTGGTTTATTATCTACCCTCTAGTTAAAATTTGACTCCTTGGAGGGTCACTAACAACAGAGTTGTGAATCTTTGTATATTGTGCACAAAAATTAACATGTTATAATGAGTGTTGTTTGTTTTGATGAAATAAGACAATGCAACATGAGCAAACTGCAAAGGGAGTGTCTCCCAGGAACTTTCTAAGAGAAATTTGTTCCATTCAGATCTTACACACACAAAAACCTGAAAAAAACACCAGTACATTGATCAGAAACAAATTTTGGGTTCCAACTACAAGTGTTCAGTGGTTTTATCCACTGGTCGACCTGTATGAATGCTAATATTTCAGCATTTTGTCATCTGATATTTTTGAAATGACACAACCAAAATATCAAAACTGAAGACTCAAAATATTTAATAATGTATAACACTAAAGTCTGGATGTATGTACATTTCATATATATATATAACATTTTGATAAATAGTTATATAAAAAGAATTACACCAATAATATATTTTTTAATATATGTATAGATTGCCTCTCTGCTTTAAATTCTTTTAAAGATCATCATTTTACATTATATCTTAGATATGGTCATTTTAGAAAATCAAAAAGCTTTTTCTAAAAATAAAAGCTTTAAACATTAAAATATCATGGTTATGAGTATCAAATAGAATGTACAAATATATAAAACCCAAAATCTGATCTGAAAACAGGTATTAAAATTTTTTTTTTTTATGAAGATTGACATGAAAATAAAGTTTCAAACAAAAAAGAAGTCATAAACTGAAATATTGTAAGTTTACACATAAATATAGAAATCAAAGATCTATTAGAGCAAATTAATAAGTTTATTTTTATTAATAAAATTTTTTCTTTAATATATTAAACATGCAAGTTATACTGCAGCTTAGAAATTTTTTTTTAATATTTGATCAGCTTTCTATACATCAATAAATCCAATTCATTTTTTAACTGCAAAAATTAAAACTTTACTCTTATAGCAACATCATAAAAAGGGACATTTGTATACACATTAAGCACTCATTTATAATAATTTCTATAAAAGTTTTTTTTTAGATTAAAATATTATAGTAATAAATGATTTCAATAATTTCCCTTTTAAATTTTATTTTATATCAAATACAAATTAACAACTATTTATTGGAAAAAAGAAGAAAAATTAGGAGGAGGAGCAAGTATTCTGTTACAATATAAATTTTATAACAAAATATGAAATTATATTTCCTATTTAGCTTTAATCACTCAAAATTCATTGCTAAATAAATACAAGTTAATTTGATTGCTGTTTCTTTATAGCTTAAAAATCACTAATAATAATAATTACACCAAACCATACTGACATTAAAAATGTTTTTCAATGTTATAAAGTTAGATAATATAGCAATACAAATGAAGTCAAACACTTAAGTATACATTCACTCTGCTCAAATACCTAAAATACAACATGTATTAACAGTATAAGTAGAAAACTCACAATTGAACATCAGTAGAAAGTATTTGAATAATAAATAGGTGTGTTATTGAAACATGCTTTAAAATTATAAATCGTTTTTGACCATTAATCAAAAAATCAGTTTCATATGAATGTATGTATCAATCCAAGCAAAATAAAATTGATTTAATAACTAATTACTATACAAAGAACAAAGCAATGGGACAACTAGAAGAATATAAGTTCTGAAGTCTTGTGTATAAAAAGGTACATTCAACTTATTATATAACAGAAGATAATTATTGTGTGACTAAAATTATCCTCTGGAAAGACAATATTTGGAGTTGTTTTCAAGTTTTCATACAATTAAAATATTCTGTAAATATCAATAATTATCTTACAGAAAACTGAAGTCTGAAGATTCAAAAGCAAAAATTTGACTTTGATATAAAGTAACAAAATTCTGATTTAAATTATTAAATAGGTTTTAATTAAATATTAAATTTAATTTCAGTAAATATTCAATTTAATAGAAATCTACAAACTTCTAATAATTAGTTACAAAAGCTTATAATTCATATGAAATACTTCAATAAAAAGAAAAGTTAAAATGAATACACAAATATCAAATATTTGATAATTACATATAATGTTGATCACATTTACTATATTTGTTTAATATTTATCATTAAAATATCTTTAATTTTTCTTGAAAAAAAGCCTATTAAAATGCATATCTTTATGGCATATTTTGTCATTTTATTAAAACTTGGTAATTACAATTTTCTTTTATTTTTTACTGTTAAGAATCAAATCTACATCAATTTTCTGCAATAATGTAATCAATTATACTAATGATGACACTGCAAAAATACTTGGAAGGAAACTAGATATCTGACTCATCCTTTTATTACACTTTAACAAATACTTGGAATATTTATTTAAGAAAATTCTTATTTATAACTATTACAAATTAATACAATCTTAAATCTTATAAAACAATTATAAAAATAATTTATACATATATATTTTTTGTTGAAGGATTATTTATAGAGTGAAATTAATTCAGTTAAATTCAATATTTGTTTTTACAGAGTATAATTTCACTAAATATTTTGAAGAGTAAAAATGGTTATCGATCATTAAAGATGCTATGTAGATTCTGTGAAGGTTTCCAAACGAAGGGGTTTTACAGAGTAATAATAGACTGTTCTCACTGAACAGAGAAGGAAAAATCCAAATAAAACTGTAAAGAGAAAAATATAATATAAAATGATCAAAATTGAATTTTAAAAAATATGGTGATAATTTTAAGTCTAATATTACACAGTAAAATATATATTAAATGATTTTTAATAGAGATGCCAGAAATATTTGGATATTTTTTTAATATTCAGTATTTGGCCAAATAGTATGCAACATTCAGCCAAATACCAAATCATGAAAAAAAAAAACACATATATTACTCAAAAACGTATTTATTTTAATCACAAATTATTACATTTAATACTTAAAATCTATCAGTGGTAAGTTGTGATGAATGAAAACAATTTCAGTATTTGTTGATAGCAAACGATTGCACTTTTCCTCAAACTATACCTGCTTCTGAAAATAGCCTCTCACTATATACACTACTGCCAGGAGACTATAGATAAATCTTAGCAAATTCTATCAGGCTTGGATACTGTTTTGAGTTTGCTGATCACCACTTGTAAAGGTCTGCCATCCGATCTAGGCAAACAGTTTTCATATAAAGTTGATATTTTTTAGTAATAAGGACTATTTGTAATGTAATTTGATGTAACAATGAACAAATAATGCATGTCGTGACACGATCTACTTGCAAATAAAACAAATGCGCCTGTGGTGTTACTACCGCACCCACCGCAATGAGACAGGTCATAACCTGTCAATTGCAGAATGTACATATATTTTGCCGAACATTTGGTTGCTGAATATTCAGTATACAGCAAAATCACTATTCATGGCATCACTAATTTTTAATGCTAAAAAACTGCATTTTTCTCTTTATAATTGAAACAGCATGCATTATCATTAGTGAAATATTACTGAAAATGAAAAATTAATTTATGATTTCTCCATCAAATGAATTATTTTTATTAACAAGTTAAAATTTTTAAGATACACAAATATTTAAAAATTTTTCTTATGAATTAAGGAAACAAAACCTCAAACATTCTGTATAAATGGAAGAATCATCTAATCTTTCCTTAGATACACAAACAACCTGTATAATGAGGACATAATTTTATACTTATCTATAATATTTAAGAAGTGAAACTAGTATTCTACTGTCAAACTTGATATTTTCCAAATTTTGAATCTTAAAAACAGACTAGAAGAAACAGCAATGACTATGCAAATGCTTCTCACAAATCTAAATATGTAGCAGTGTATAAACTTCCAAATTTCAACAGAATCAATAAAAGCTTAGATAACATTTCTTCCATACATCATAATAGTGAAATATTACTAGGACATTGTGTGACTGTCGTATCACGATAGAATTGAGGTGGAGCCAGAAAGAAAGAAGCAATCCTTGCACCTGTTAGGCATAGAAGAGGTGATTCTCATACCTCACGGATGCGGACAAGTGAACTTTGCATTTTCTGCCACAAAAGAGGCTATTCTCATACATGCAGGCCATGGGAGACATGATTCTTGCACTGGCCAGGTACAGTGAGGTAATCCAAAAATAAAGCAGTTGCCATTGATTGTTTTGTTTGTTTAAGTCCATAACCCTTTGGGTTATGGGCTTAAGGGGTTGGAAAATGGCAAAATTTTACCAAACTTGGTCCATTGAATTTTGAGAACAAACTTGATTGTATAAGCCCACAGAAGACATACTAGCAACTGTACATCACATGACAAAGTCACAGAATTTGTGCAATATCGCTTTGTCACGTGCGCTCATGAAATGACTTTATACCTCAAAAATGAAGTCATGGGCCCCCATTTTTTTTTTTTTGCAATTTTGGATTCTNATTGTGTGACTGTCGTATCACGATAGAATTGAGGTGGAGCCAGAAAGAAAGAAGCAATCCTTGCACCTGTTAGGCATAGAAGAGGTGATTCTCATACTTCACGGATGCGGACAAGTGAACTTTGCATTTCCTGCCACAAAAGAGGCTATTCTCATACATGCAGGCCATGGGAGACATGATTCTTGCACTGACCAGGTACAGAGGGGTGATCCAAAAACAAACAAAGCAATCAATGGCAATTGCTTTGTTTTTGGATCACCTCTCTGTACCTGGTCAGTGCAAGAATCATGTCTCCCATGGCCTGCATGTATGAGAATAGCCTCTTTTGTGGCAGGAAATGCAAAGTTCACTTGTCCGCATCCGTGAAGTATGAGAATCACCTCTTCTATGCCTAACAGGTGCAAGGATTGCTTCTTTCTTTCTGGCTCCACCTCAATTCTATCGTGATACGACAGAGTCATGTACAGCAATTGCCACTGATTGCTTTGTTCTTGTGTTTTGTTCGTTTTTCACGCATATTTTCCATCAGGTGCACTCAGTCACATCAGAGAGCATGGACATTGACTTCATTTTCATTATATAAAAGTATTAGTGACATAGACTCCTATATTTACTTTCATGGCTCTGTTATATATAACAGAAGGAAACTATGGTGATCGGTCAAAAATGACCCCCCTACCAAGATTTTTACATTTTTGGACTCGGGACCTTGAAACGTTGAGAAATGCAAAAATATTTGGGGTTTTTCTGTATGTACGAATGTTGAAATGTATGTGTATGTGGGGAGGGCATGATTTTTTTACCCTCTTTGAAGCTTAATAACTCCTGTGCTTTCAAAAATTTGTGAAATTTTGCAGGAAGGTTTGTATATTACAGAGATTGATGCTGTTAAATTTTGGTGGTTTACGGTCAAGGGGTGGGAAGACAAAGGGGGTTGTGTGTCATATATTGAGTAGTGTTGGACTTAATGACGATTTTACTCATTATCAGCATCTACAATTTTTTATAAAACCCATCCCTACCCTTAAAATTAAGCTTTTTGCCATTTTATAATAATTAAAAGTGTAAACATTGCATTTTATGTTATGACACCATCTGTTACAAAAATTTTAAATATTGCCTGGAAAGTTAAAGATTACTGGATTTTTTACATTTAAATGGACTCATTATCTTTTTTGGATTCCTCCTCTCAATTAATGGAAAATGGCAAAATTTTACCAAACTTGGCCCATTAAATTTTGAGAACAAACTTGATTGTATAAGCCCACAGAAGACATACTAGCAACTGTACATCATCACATGACAAAGTCGCGGAATTTGTGCAATATTGCTTTGTCACGTGCGCTCATGAAATGACTTTATATCTCAAAAATGAAGTCATGGGCCCCCATTTTTTTTTTTTTTTTTCAATTTTGGATTCTGAATTGCAATTAACAGAAAATGGCAAAGTTTAATCAAAATCAATCAAATGGATCTTGAAAACAAACAATTCTGTAAGTCTCATAGACGAAGCTTTGCTAACATTCTGCTTCATATATCTATTGTGTAAACCAATGGTACATTACAGGGGGGGAAATATTTACAAACTTGACATCATCTTGACACAAGTCATAACAAAATAAAATAATATTACCGTATTAGCCCGAATTTAACGCGACTCCAAAATTTTCATAAAGATATTTAGAAAAAATAATACTCATAACAGAATTCAAAGAAAGTAAAATTCAATCAGATAAGCATTTATTTATGTAATTACAGTAGAGCGTCGTTTATCCGAATCAATTGGGGACTGGGGTGGTTCAGATAACTTATTTCTCGGATAACAAATCATGTACGAAAAAATATATTAATTTATCCCATNGAAATATTTACAAACTTGACATCATCTTGACACAAGACATAACAAAATAAAATAATATTATTTAATAAAGTTAGCCAAATTAATCATATCCTTCCAACATTTAAATTTTGTGAAAGGTTTTTCAAGCTGTAAACTTTTTGCACCAACACCATCCACACCAAGTAGTATCCCCACAATAGTGAAGTATGGATTTTTATCTAGTTTGATGATGATAATCATTTAACTAACCAAAGATCACTGAAATTAAAATATTAACAGAAGAGAATCAATTGAGTATTTTGTTCTTTATAATGTACAAATACAAACTCTTCTTATACATAAAATTCTTACTCAGACTAATAGATCTATTTATTACAGTAACTTCCTGGAATATCATTTACATCTTTAACTGCGTAATCAGCAATGAGATTTTCCTACATTAAAGGTTTATTGCATTGTACAATTGCAATTATTATGTAAACCATACTTTAAACACTGGATGTTTTTAGTATTAAAAACACCAGACTACACCTTTAATCCAGTAAAGAACAAACTCGAAGCCACAACTGCCACTTACTGTGTGTGGATGTGCTACCAACTGGTAGTTACGGGTTCAAGTCCCACTCCGAGCCAATTGTTTTTGTTCTTTACTGGATGAAGGTGTAGTTTGGTGTAATTATTATGTAAGAATGAATATTAAATAACCATCAAACAACATAGAAAGTGAACCTTCAAACTTCAGGCATAAGATTATGTGCATTTTTAAGTGGCATATAATATTTAAAAAATAGTATAATGGAAGACCTTATTTGATTTCAAAAGCTAATTAAGTAAACACATTTTGTAAATATTTAAAAATATATTATTTTATGACATTTTCTTATTTGTTAAAAATTACAATATATTAATATTATAAATAATAAATGTTAGTTATTATTTATAATTTTAAAATTATAATCCTTAATAAATAAATAGAATAAGTTACCAATATATGCTGCAATGATAGCTGGTTTATGCAACACCTTATGAACTGTATAAACCTGGAAAAAAATATTTTCAGGATAAATTGTATGACTTTATATTTAAAAACTTGTTAATCTTATATATAATTATATGAAATTCATCATTAAAGCCTTAAAAACTTATAAATAAAAGTAATATAAAATAAATTTCTAAAAATAAAATTATATAAATCATAATTGCTGGAATATCTTAAAATACTGCCTTTTTGTTTCTAAATATAGATAAATGTTTCTTAAAATACTTTTACTTACTAAAGTAAATATTCCACTTATCAAGAACAATAATGTAAGAATCATGCATAAGTTTCTTCTGTGTTTTATATAATGAGAAGAAAATGTGACACTGAAATGTCATAAAATATAATATAAATATTTAAATTCATCTAAAAATTACACATATACACAACATCACTAAAAACAAAATTTGAATTTATATACAATAATATGTTTTAAATAATTTAAAATGAAGTTTTACTGAATATATTTATAATTTAGATACCAATTATTTTAGAAATTAAATATTAATCTATATTGTTAGAAATTTTTAAATGTTTAACTATAATCTGTTCTAGCTAACTAACTATCTCTTATAATAATAATTTAATTAACAGAGTAATAGTTAATTATTTGTTGAAAGGAATCTGGCATTTACATACAGAAACAAATTAAATTTTTGATTCGATCATTTTCTTCCATCTGTATTTCAAGACAACTAATGATTCATGATAAAACATTATCATTTATATAGATGCAAGAACAAACTGACTAGCATGTTTGAACAGTAAAAATTATTTATAAATTTCAGTCATGCAACTTCTTTGTCTTAAACGTTTTTATGTTATAAAAATAAAATCTAAACCAAAATATTTGGAAAAATATCAAGTCAAAAATATTAAACTGATTATATCAGATTTTAAAAAGAGTTTAATTTCCTGAATAAATATTTTATGTTAAGAAAGATCAAAATATGACTGAGTGACATTAAAATTTCAACTTACCGTCTCCTACAATATACACACCTCATCACCTTTTTGAACTCGGTAGTATTTATCTAAAGAAAGGAAAAATTTTAAATAAATTTATGATTTTGTTATTATATAAATATACAGTTATAAAGAAAACACACATATATCATGTGCAAAATAAATACAGCCATATCTCAGTATTTAAATTCTCACAATACCAGTATTTATAAATTTATTTTAAATGCATTTGTGAAAAAAATTCAAATGTTAGTGGGAAGGAGGCATAAATCCATTTCCAGCATCTGTTTATCAGTTTGTCTAGTGTTTGTGCTTGAGTTCTAATGTGATTGTGTTTTTATTTCAAAATTTCAATGTAATCTAAAAAGCTTATTCTTAATTGTTCATTACAACAGATTCACTATTTTGTTCATTTATTTTCATTGCTTTGCTTCTGTACAGTAATATTTTAATATAAAATGTTGTAATAATGCTGTACATTTTCATTGCTTTCTAGTGCATATTAATAGAAAATGCAGTTAATATACAATTCCTAATAAGGGGTAATATATAAACTTATTCATTGCATTACTGCTTACAAATATGAAAAAATATCAACAAGATCATTAAAGGATATGACAACTAAAGGTTCATTTTGTTTAATATTATGTTAAAAATCTTGGGTTGTTAGACAAATAGATGTTTGTGCTATTTTAGGCATTAGTTGAAGAAATTAATTGGGAGAATTCAGAGGGACTGGGAACTATTTACAATTTTTCGCATAAAAATATAACGAAAGAAAGCTTAATGATATACAAATTGCTTTCAGGAACACATTATATTTGAATAATAGGATATACAAATGACTAAAAAAAATTTCTTAAATGAAATGTTTGTTTTTTTATTTTTATTTCATCTATGTTAGAAAATTTTGCTTGGCACTTCATAATGTAGATGAAATAAAATATATTTGTTTATTTATAATCTTTTTAAGACAACTCTAAACTTTTCATCTCCAAAAAAATCTTTTTTTCAGAGATAAAAAAAAACAACTAACAGTAAACAAATACAGAGAAACTTCTAAACGGATATCTCCCATTAACAGACAATTTTGAATTCCCCAACAAAGATAAGTTGAATTATGATTATGTTTTCCTTCCAAATAACAGATGCGGAAACTTCAATAGAATCATTAATGGGCAGTTTAGATCTATCACTAGTATCTGATGCATTTTTGGAAATCTTTATACATCTGAATAACCATAGACACTTAATGCAAAACAACATTGAACTCAACTGATCTCCCTTTGTTGGAAATTAAAAAAGGAGAAACTCTCAGTTCCCAATAGAGTTATGTTCTGTTACTGTCAGTCTATGTAGTCATCAATCATGTTCCCATCTAAATATCTACTACATTGTATGTCAGTCTGTTCAACCAATGAAAACATGCTGTTGGGAAATTATGAGAGAAGCAATCAAAATTTAATGAAAATTACATTTCAAAACTAACCAGTAAAATCTTAACCATAATAAAAGAAATTAATTGAGATAATGCTTTGTCTTCTATGTCCATGCACTTTATATTTTTTAAATCTTTTTACTTGTGTACAGATTTATGCTATAAATATGGATTTTGTTGTACAGTTTCAACAAGCTGTTTGATAACTTCTGTCCTGAGAATGCTTTCTGATCAGAAAATGATCAAATGCAATTGGTTTATGGATACCAGATGACAGAATTTGAGATGTCTACAACAGAAATTATGTATTTATTCTCCCAAATTCTCAGTGAATATATCATAAAAGATTTCATTCAGTAAGCAAGCAGTTCAGTTTATTTAATAATTATTGTTACAGTTCATCCTGGTTAGAGGCTTATGGGCACTACAGGCATAAAACACATTCCAGAATTGATGGTTAGTGTTTTGATAAAGTGGCATGGTCTTATATGCTTTCATCATAGGCTAGAACTAAAATATGGATATGACCTGTAGTAGCATATCAACATCCTACCATAAATTTGTGGATTGACTTAAATTATGGGTATAGATTAAACCAAAATTTTGAGCTGAAAACTTGATGTGGCATACATAATATATTTTTTGCTTAAAATATTCTTGAAATAGTAACTAAACTATTTACTTGTTTGGTATAATTGCAGATGTTTTGTTTTAAAGAACTTTAATATTATATGAATATTCTAAAAAGGAAAACATAAAAATGAGATCCATATGATTATCAATTTATTCAATTATGATTAAAGATAGACTATAGGAATGATTCATAATTCTAATATTTTTATTCATCCCTAGCTATTTGAGTTAAATAAAGAGAAAACAATCTTATTTAATATCTCAATTAAGTTTCTCATAGCAGAAGATCTGTAGCAGCAGCAGCAATTTTACATTTGTTGTTAGTGAAAAGCTTAAAAAATAATTTCCATCAAACTCAATAATTTTTTCCAATCAAAGTTTAGTGTGTGGAGAGTGGCTTTGTAACCATGTATTTTGATAAATTTTTTGTTTCAGATGAACTCAAAATCTTTCTATAGGCCATAATTGGAGCACACTGGGTGGATTTCCTTCTCTCTTTACATAACTAATATTCAAATTTTCAAGTTTTGTGGTAATAATGGTTGTCCAGTTTTATGATACACTGTCATGCCACATGCTATAATTACCATTAGGTTATTTTTGTATTGACGAAAACAATTTAATGGCTTCAATTTAAATTCAATACATTCAGTCAAGTATATTTTGACATCCAGAGAAAATATGAGGGTACAAAATAACATTCTGACTGACTTTTCTTGCTGATTGATATGCAGACAATTATTTCAAAATTTATTAATAGTTCATATTTTCTTTATTTTCTGTGTATAATTCAGTTTTAGCTGAATTTTTAAGTGTAAAATAAGATTCATTGTCATAATATAACAAATTAGATTTTCTGGCATCTTTGTGGCCATGATTTTCAGTCTTTCCATTTTGTAACTGTAGTTGTTTATCTGCTGATTTTGGAACACCATCTTACCAATAATATTCTATATAAACTTATTTCAAAATTTTTCGTGCTCAAAAGTATAAAAATTTCTTCTTTTCATGCAAGTTTTATACTCAATTTTGTCCATTTTTTCTTTTCTTGAAATGGCCAACAAAAGTCTCTTTTCACAGGAATCTTTTTAGTGATTCTGCCGAATCCTGGAGTTATACTCAATGTTTGGTCATTCTTCAGTCTTTTTCCTACATCAAACAGTTTGATGACCAATTGTGAAATGTTTCACAACACTGAGAATCCAATTTACTAGAGTACTAGTATTAGTGTTATAAATCTGAGCTATCAAATTGTATATCATTGAACTCTCACACCATGAACACAGCACAATCTATAAACATGAAATTTCTTATGCAAATGCATGTTGTCTTTGCTTACTAATTTTCTAATTGTTATGTCTAAACATCTCAGTGCAACATTAGTTCAAACTATGTGCAGATTTTTAGTGCAACTCCCTTATTACACTGGACAACAAAAAAAAATTGTTTTTGAATGTTTCCTTTATTTCATGAGTGAAATCTTACTAATTTTGGGGTGAGAAAATTGAATATGACAAAAAAAAAATTTTATTAGCTCTAGTTTCTGTGGTATACAATAGGTGATTTTAACTGCATAAGAGAAAATGATACATTTTAATTACATATGCTAACAACATTGAAAGTGCTTTTGAATTTTTTTAAAATTACAGTAACATTCTAAGAGTTCTAAATTAATAGAAGAATACCTGGCAGGTGGTTCGGTGTGAAGAGAATCACGTGGTGACTTCATGAGATCGTTTTCTTTTGGCTTGCCCCTTGTAAGTGAGTTCTGGTGCATCCCTACACACAGACCAGCAGTAATCCGCAAGTATTGCTTCATTCCAATGGCCCTGATATCTTTGTTCCAATACAGAAATATCCTGGTGGAATCTTTCCCCATGTTCATCACTGACAGCTCCGCAACTAGGAGGGAAAAAGTCTAGGTGGAAATGGAGAAAATGGATTTTGAGGGACTGTTGCATCCGAGTTGATGCTATTTTTCCAGAAGTATTGTCATCAACTGAGTGTAGTTATTATCTCTTTTGTTGTCTAATAATCCACAAATTATTCTCTTTTAAGGCCCTTTTCTTTTCCCTCCAAAACTTGGTCAAATGCGGGATCCTTTACAAGTTTTCAAATTTATGGCCCAACAAAAATATCTTTCTTAACCTTTGCATCACTCAATCTAGGAAATTTGTCTCTTAAGTACTTAAATGCCTGTCCTTTCTGGTTCATACCTTTGACAAGTTTTCATAAAACCCAGCTTGATATGAAGGGTGGAAGAAGAACATCTTTTGGGTTCATGAGAGGCTCAGCAACGATATTTTTCCAGTAGAGTCAAGATTTCTTGCAGGCCAGTCCTCTTGAATGTAATGTGATTTCTTATCCCTACTGTCCCACATACATAAAAAGCAACAGTATTTAGTGTACCCCAGTTGCATTCCTAAGAATACAGTGATGACTTTTAGATTTTCCACTTGTGCTCAGCATAATTGATTGAGTCAAGGAAGGCTGTCATGTTTGCATAAATATATATTCTGTAATAGAGTGAAGTTTTATTATATGCTGATCTGAGGAGTTTTACAGGAAAAATGCCAACAAAAATTTGAAATAATTGAAGATGCACTATTTTGTAATGAAACATTTTTTTACAAATTTTACTATAAAACCTTTCTCATATATTTTGTATTATTTAGATTACTTCAATCATTTTAAATTATAATTTAAAATGAATAAAAGTTTTAAATCTTTCGTGGACCATATTTCAGCTCTTGAGGACCACTAGTTGGGAACTGCTGTTCCAAAGCAAGAGCTAATAGGTCATTTTTATAGTGGTTTTTGAATTCAGCAGCTGAAAATACATAAGAATACAGTCGACCCCCCTATAAGATAGAGATACATTCCATTCTTTAGGAATCCGATTTCTTACGAATCCTTCCAATCACAACCCGACACGTGTCAAGTTTACGGACTACGGCTGTTTGAAAGATTTTCTTCCATAAAATTAATCGATTCTAG